GTTGGTATAGGGTTTGTTTCAAGTTTTCCTTCTCTCTGCAGTGCTGTTGTCCGGCTTAGTTTGCTTTCTTAGTCGACTCTTACGTTACGTAAAAACGTTTTACACGGTCAGTTTCTCCGACGTAAGTCAACAAATCGCAACTAAAGTCAACTTTAAGTCCGGGATTATTTCAAAACTCACTCCGTTTCATTTAAAATTTGTTATAAATTTATTAATATCTATTTAAATCCAGAGAAGTGTTTACCTATTTCCTTATTTAAGAAGATAAATAGTGTTTGTCTATGTGGTGACGGATTAAGAATACGGAATGTCACCACCCCTATTCATCCCGTGGGTGTCGTAAGAGCCGACTAAGGGACTAAACTACAAGACAACAGCACTGCAAAGAGAAGGAAAACTTGAAACAAACCCTATACCAACCCGTCTGGCCAGCGTGGTATAGTAGGCCAAAACCTCCTTTCTAAGGAGAGGCCTATGTCCAGCAGTGGACTATTAAAGGCTGTTCATGAAATAGTGTTTAGTTTTTGGGAAGCATACTAATCTGCTGCTTTTTATGTGTTACATCTTCCTTCCGCTTTCCTGTTATCTGTCAATCAAGAAATCACTTCTTCAGAAATGATTTTGTGAAAATAAATGGAAGTGTGTGACAGGAAGGCTAGGAAGTACACGGTATTTGATTTGACCAATAAGTAAGTGCAGTGGCAGATGTCAAATGTTACTCTTGATATCCGGCTACTGTATTCGGCCGAAATAATTTATTGAAAGCTATGGATTCGACAATAAACGAATGAAATCACATGAAATATATTTCGACTACTCACCTACGAGAATGATCGCCCAAACGCCGAAATTCGGTTGTAATACATATATCAACAAGCCTCCATTAAAAGTAGAAAGCTAGGGAGAAAAACTGTAATCCTCATTAAAGAAAAACTCTTTTTCGAAAAACTTTTCGAAAAGTTTATTTGTGGTGACAACACTGAAACTGCACCAATAACAAAGCAGAAAAGGGTACAAAATAATAAAAAAAATAACTTGAGAGATGTCTCACACACGGATGCCCGATCCTTAACAAAACAGAGCCTATAGGTTAGCAGGCTGCTAATAAATAAACTGATTTGTAACTAAATACAGTCTCATATACTATCAAAAACACTCAGACACAGAACGAAAATGATAGTGCAAATCACTGAATTGTTTGAAGGGAATTAAGAATACTGAGTGTCACCACCCCTATTCATCCCGTGGGTATCGTAAGGGACTAAGGGAGCAAACTACGCAGAACAATAGTACTGCAGAGAGAAGGGAAACTTGTCACAAACGCTATACCAATCCGTCTGGCCAGCGTGGTATAGTAGGCTACAACCTCCTTTCTAAGGAGATGCCTATGTCCAGCAGTGGAATGTTAAAGGCTGTTGATGTAGCTGTTTTCTACTAGATCAAAACTAAGTATGTTCTACATAGGGGTGGTATTTCGATCAGTCATTATATAGATTTAATGACAGTTCAATGACAGGTCCACATCGCAATTTAAAATGCATATATTGCGATCTTGAAAGTTCCAACAAAATCTCTCTCGTAGCAAATACATATGGTCGGGTTCTTTTTTGTCATTTGATGTTGTAATTCGATTTTTAAATAAAATCATTGACCGTCGCCATTATGCATCACACATAAATAGAACTAGATTAGAACTAATAGTAAGCAATGTTTTTATATATTTTACGATTTGATCACTAATTTTTTTTTTATTTCTCATATTCATGAAACTGAATAGAAATAGAATAGAAATAGAAATAATCTTTATTGTCACAAAATTTATACAGTTCACAAGGATTCACACTTATAATTTGACACAATTAAATGTATTGTGCTTTAGGTACTGATACTGTCTCCCAAACTAAGCGAAGGCTTGTAGTTTTCAGTCGTGTATTATTTATTAATTTTGTTTATGTTTATTTATTTATTTATTTGACCAATATAATATAATAATATGTTACAATGTAGGACATTTTTATTTAAAATACATTCAGTAGTTTCGTTAATCATTAAGCAACAATAGTGTAAAACTAAGGTAATATTTTATATATACTAATGATTGATATTTGACCCTATTATGACGTTATCATGAATATAGTGATGTGACAGGTCATTCGACTGCACGGATGGCGTAATGGTTTAAGCCGTCACTTTGTGTGTCACTATGTGTGATCCACAAATTGTTGTTCCGAGTCTGGGTGTTCTTTGTGTCCGTTTCATGTGTGTAATGTAAAGTCCCCGCAACACAAGATAAATTCCTAGTCCTGCACTTGTCTTAAAAAATAAAATGAAATTCTATCACGTCATGAACTAATCAATTCTTTAATATGGTCACAACATAATATATGCCACTCGAATCGCTCAATGTTCCACTTAATCTATTACATAAGCCATCTTAACGAAGCCCATACATAAATAAATAAAATGTAACCCATTACGAACTGAGGCAGAAGATGACACGGATTTTTTATACGCAACTCAGCATTGGAAAAGCTCCAGTTATTTCAGAGTAGTTGTAGTTACGGCTATCAATCAGCGCGCGAGGGTTGATTGGTCAAATCTACGAAGATCACAGCCGGGGCGGGCTCCACGATGTTTATTTATCTGTTGTGAGATGTTAGGGGTAGTGGAGGATGGACTCGTGAACTAAATCTAACGGGAATCTTTTTCTTTTTAAGACATCCAGTTTGTTTTTCGTGAAATGCAATTTTCGTTTGTTTTTAAAAACTTTTAAATAGATTTTACAGTTACATCCATACTTATGTTATAAATTGAGATTGCGTTTGTTAGTTTGTTTGTTACGCTTTCATGCCTAAACAACTAAACAGATTTTAAACATTCTTTCACCAATGGAAAGCTACATTATCAGCGAGTAACATAGGCTAACTTTTTACCACGATAACCGACATACGGGCGAAGGCACGGGTAAAAGCCCGTATATTATTATATAGTGTTATATTAAGCCACAATCGTCATTAAAAAAAAAACATTAAATTATTTATTTCTTGTTGTCCAACTTAAACGTGTTGACAAAGTTTAAACACGATCTCATGTGAACCACTGCTTTAAAATTCAGATTCAAATACTGTGATACGAAGAAACATACATACAATACAACGCTTTAAGTAAAAGACTAGATGGATAGATTCTTCATAACCTCTGTTAGTACTTAGGTACTTGACCAATGGAAAATCTATTACTGTGTGTAATTTTAACGATCAAATGCCATATATACAGAGTGTAAGGGACGTCGTAACGAATACTGAAATAGTGTATTCATACCATCAGTGCCAGTCGAAAATCTTCTGCCAGAAAACTCATCATTTTTTTTATAATTTTCCATTTTTTTTGTTTAGAAATTATGAAAAATCTTATATCGCCGGTTGAAGAGAATAACCTTGCTCTCTGTTACGTAAGTAGTACGTAATAGTCAGCAGAATGTAGACGTCTGCCTACACCTCTAAGATTATATGCGTGAGTGTATGTATAAAATATTTTTCACCAGGGCAAAAACCAACAGCTTATGAGAAAATAACCATGGGAACTTTACACGCTGTCTTCAAAGGGGCTTACTTGCGTAGACAAGCATTTTCCCTCTTACCAAACTATTTGACAGAAACTTCAAAGATTTCAACAAACTTACACGTACTTTTCCACTAAAATTCTTTCATCTAATAAAACTCGAAACTAATTTCTTAATTACTTTTACCAACCACAAACATCAAAATAGTGTTTTGTTTTAGAAGTCTTAGGCAAATAATATTACAATTTTTTTTAGAAAACCTACATTGTTTTTGGCTTTTTTATAGTAACTAAATAGGAATAATAACCTCACACATGGCCCTCTGATCATAAACTAGGCAGAGTCTGTAATAAGGCACCCGAACTGCTGTTAAACATACCTATATACTTCTAAATACATCAAATCAAATCGATTCATTTATCTTGCAAATATGGTTGCTCGTAACATAAGTAGTTGTCGTGGAAATCCAACCCAAAACCTCTGGCCTAGCAGTTAGAATCACAACCACCACACCAGCAGGCCTGCCAACGGTAACTGGTGTATGCATACGTGTATGTGTGACGGTTTTATAATAACTCCTGAACTGTGTGATAAAATAATAACAATCACAGAAGGTAACTGAAACTAATAAAAAAAAAATATCATGGGTTACGATTCGATATGGTTGATAAACAATTTTTGCTAACTACAATGCATACGTAACAGAAGCACTCTTCTTTAATTAACGTCCTTTCATCAAGTCAATTCAAGCACAGTCCTGGCTCTGGTTTGCTTAACATGTTTTAATTAAAAAAAAAAAAATTGAATATCTGTACATTCTATAGAAATAAATTAAATTAAAATGTCTGTTTGTAATGTCAGAATACTAGGTTTATTTCATGCTCACACGGTTATTTGCATGGTATAGGTATCAACACAATCAAGTTTAAATATTATTTGTCTGTCTGTCTGTTTAACCATTGCCTGTGTAGCCATTAATCTCAAAATGGCTTGACCGATTGTGATCATATTAAACTACCCGGTGGCTGTCTATATAAGGAGTTACTTAGGCTATTTTTCCTCTCAGAAAAAAACTTTATAAAATTCTGCCCGGTCTTGGCATCAAACCCAAGGCCTCATACCATTGCACTACTAAGGCAGCGCTTTTAAACTTCCACGCTTACGAAGTCGGGAGTGCCAGCTGGTCAAAATATAATTCTCTTAACTGCTGATAGATTTGGGTCTAAATTCCATAATTATGAAGCAAATTCCTCTCAATTAAGAATATAGTAAGTATTATCATTCGTATTTAACTTTAGAAAAAAAACTAGACCGATGCCTCATCTATCACGTTCACGGAGCTTTGCTAATAGAACTTCTTGGTAAAAATTACAAGTAAAAGAAGAATCACCTCATGTGCTCCCGGCTCAAACATCTTTAAAAATCAACAGCAGATATCCTAAGTTGGGTGTGCAGAAGGCAACTTGTTGCCGGGAGGCGTGTCTGGCCCGCCCACCGAGTTATCAAGGCTCCTCGGGCTGAGCATCTCAGTGGTAGTAGACACGCGAAGCAAACCAGACGTCATGGCAGCCATCCTGAAGTTCGACATGAGGGTTCTGTCGCCGGAACGCTGACGTCTACTCAAGCGTAAGGTAAGTCTACTGGGTACTTCGAAACTGTGACAGTAATTTTTTATTAATTCTTCCATTTTCATTAATTTAGAAATTGCAATTCATGAAATATTTTCAAATCGATAAACTGATAATATAAACAAACTTCGCAAATAAGTATAGGTTTTACTTAAGTTTAATAAAAATCCTTTTAACATTTTAAAAAGTTATGTCTTAGAGTTTTTTATAACAATGGAAATTTACAAACATTTCGTTATAACTGTTACTATATGGCTTATAATATGGATAAGTTCAAGTCTAAGTTTTAATTTGACTTCAATTAAACTGTGTCGATTTCTACAAAACGTCATTATCTATATAAATCTATATATTCTACAAAAAAAACATCATTATAACAGGTTACCTATGGTTGGAACTTTTCCAATCTCTTAACGTAAACTTTGAAGCTGAAAAATCTTTAAAGTTTCGTCAAAACAATTGCTAAAAGTATATTACAATAATGCAATGGTTACAAAATTTTTTTTACAGTAAGCCGTATAATAATAGGAAACAACAAGCAAATATTTTTACGCCATTCTTACTTTATTGCAAATTAATAGTTAAAGTTTCTTTCTTGTTTAAATTTAAACCCTCAGAAAAGCACACGTAAGGTAAAATCATCATTACTACACGGCCTTCCCTTCTCATCATCATCAATTAATCAATAATTTATTAAATCAACTACAATTCTTTTTTGAGACTATATTCACTAAATAGATTAGCATAGATTTACGTAAGTATATATTTTCGGCAACTGATTAATAATCTTGCGAGAAGCATCTCATCTCATCTCATCAAATTAACACAAATTTTATTTAATTATTTCAATAGCTCACCTTTTGAAAATATCTTCGTACAAGTAGATTTCACAAATACGATAACATTCAGGCATATAACACACCAAGACTTAGAACAACTGAAGTGGGGATTGAACCACAACATTAGATGGTGGTGGTGGTGTGAAATGTAAATCTAGGAGTAGGTGTCAATTCAACCGCTGCACTATCTGTACCTATTCTTTAAATCTACTAGTTTAACAGTTCTATTACTACACTATAATATTTCTGGCCTGGCCTGGTGGCCTAGTGTTTAGTGATACTGACTGCTAAACCAGGAACCGTGGGTTCGATGCCCACCCAGGACAAATGATTGAAGAGCACGATCATTTGTGTCTGGCTATAGTTAATCTGTAATATGTATGTATTTAGAAATATCTAAGTATGTTTATTTAGAATGACATCATATATTTCGTTTTAGTTCGTAATTTCGTTAAATATGACTTTGTTAAAATATTATCATTTTATACCCGGTGCAATGATTCAATAAATCGAGCCCACTAAATACGTGTGGTGACGGATTAACTATAACCAACCCACGGGATGAATAGGGGTGGTGACACTCTGTATTCTTAATCCGTCACCACACGGACCTGAAGATAGATTTAATAAATTAATAAAGTGCTGACACAGCTCAAAGCATATGAAAAATGTATAACGTGGCTCGTACAAGCAGTCTGATTACCATACTACAGGCTCTGCCTAGTTTAAGATCAGATGGTCTTGTGTGAGATGTGTGAAGTTATTATTATTACTAATCTCAACAATTAATCTCGTTGGCCCATTTCATCAGGACATTCCCTTCAGTCAAAATGTCTAGTACGTGTGCAAATCATTTACTTAACTACTTATCAGTCCGGTCAAGAGCAGATTGCATAGAGTTAGAACAGTTAAGGTTCATGTATAAGCTGCCTCGGTGGTGAAGTGGTAACGTATGCGACTGCTGTGCTGAGTTCACGGGGTCTATTCCCTGGTCGACCAAATGTTTGTATGATCTGCAAATATTTGTTTCGGAGTTTGGGTGTTTTTTTATGTATTATATAATCACTTCATATTAGCAGCCTTAAATAGTCAACTGCTGGACATAAGCCTCTCTAAGGAGGTTTTGGCTTACTACGAGTATACCACGCTGGCCAAACGGGTTGGAATACGACTTGTATCAAGTTTTCCTTCTCTCTGTCAGAAATATGATCGAATATTTATTAAAAGTTCATTTTATCAATCATTTTTCCTTGATTAAGTGTAGCCCATGTGACGTTCCAAATTATAGTCTATCTTTATGCCAAATTTCCTCCAAATTTTGCAGCCGTTCTGGTGCGATCGAATAACAATTGTCCATACATCCATCCTTACAAACTTTCGCGTTTTTTTTTCACAAACCCTTCCTTCCCTTGGATTCTGGGGTTGACCAAAAGGGTGGTAACTCAGTTGTGTCTCTTGAGTTGCAGAACTCCTTTTGCGAGGGTAGTCACTCACTCTTTGGTGACATGTCTTTTGCCTTCCTATCCCTTAAAACATATGACAAACATTTCTACTCACGTGTAATATCAAGGATGTCCGGGTACTTTCGGACACTTCCGAAGTATGAAAAGTACTGCCACAACGGTGTGAAACATCACTCATAAAACATTAGTAAAACTAGCCCTCTTTAATAAATTTAAATATCACTCATGTAAGTTTTTACGCAGAGTTCACTGCTTGAAAAAAGGGACCTGGTCATCCGAAATATTCGGGAACCCCTGAAATACTCACGCTAACAAAACCGTTTAGCTTTAACTAGTAGGTACCCGTAGTTTCACTCGCCTTCTTTAGTTATCGATCTGTCATTCATTCGTGTTAGATTTCACACACAATATATAAGATTTTTAAAATAATTGCTCAGATTTTTAAATATTTGAATAGTTATTCTGCTCATCGCGGCGGAGACATATGCAAAAATTAAACATCATAAATGTCACACCTTTCTTAAGTTATAAATACTGTAAATAACCTGTCTTTATTTTTTTGTAATAAGGTACGTATCTTATACCACTCACGAATTGATCACAATCATCCCACAGAAGCTTTAAGCTCATGCAGAGAATTTAACAAAATTACAAGTATACATTACTTGTAATTTTGTGCGACACAAGTTATAGTATTCCTGATTTAAACAAAAAAATAGTTTTGAAAACACTTTTAAAGAAAGGGGGGGGGGGGGGGTGAAAAAGAGCCAACTCTACCTCTTACTTCATCAACAGATCCTTGCTAAACTCTCTTCTCTCTCTTCTCTTGCTATCTATAAGACTCGTCCATCGCATCATAATATACTTACGACCGAATGGCGTAGTGGTTTGTGTAACGGACTGCTATTCCAAAGGTCGCGGGTTCGATTCCCGCTCAAGTCAAACATTTGTGTGCATGAACATTTAATGTTTGATTTGGTCTGGGTGTTTCTATGTATAATAAATATGTATTTACAAAAAAAAAAGTATATATGTATTTATATCAGTTGTCTAGTACCCATAGTACAAGCTCTGCTTAGTTTAGGACTAGATGGCGTTGTGTGAATGTGGTAGAATATTATGAAAAAAATATTATAATAAAAATAAAAAAATGTAGTCCAAAGGGAACATGTTTAGTAATAGTCAATGAAGTGTTCCATCTGATCAGCACCAATATTTAAAATAATGTTATTGTAATCCAAACTACACATACTAAAACAAGTTTTCATTGCCATAGTTCACAGCCCTTAATAGTCCACTACTGGACATAGGCTTCTCTTTAGGAGGTTTTAGTCTACCATATTACGACGTGACGGCTAGACGGGTTGGCATAGGGTTTGTTTCAAGGTTTCCTTCTCTGTGCAGTGCTGTTGTCCTGCTTAGTTAGTTCCCTTAGTCGGCTCTTACAACAACCGCGGAATAATTAAGGTGACACTCTGTATTCTTAATCCGTCACCACACGGACTATTTTTGTTTAGAAAAGTAAATATATTTCCCCTTTTAGTCCCACTCAAATTGAATAAAATATATGGCAAAATTTACGGAATAAAGAATTCTATTTATTACAATTGACTATTGATATAGGCGCATTGAAATCCTTGTTACTTTTTTAAAGTTATAATTTAAATAAATCTTTCAATTTAATTATACTAACTGCATGTCTTTATTCATTCTAAATACCTAAATCGTAATGATATGAGTATTGTCCAGAGAAATCTGGGTCCGGACAAACGACAATGGACAAGCCGGACTAGGCTGTTGATAACTATGATTTATCCGGTACGAAATCAAATCTTTATTTTCCAACCAAGTGTACATTAATGGTCTTATAATATTAATTTGTCTCAACTTAGTAGCATTTTGAGAGCCCTGGTTACCCATAATACAAGTTTAATCTTACCTTGGGTACCAGAGTTCAATGAAATAATGTGATGGTTATGACACCTAGAAACATGTTTACCTTGAATCAAATTTTTTTTGGCATATAATTTATTATTATTATTATTATTATTTTCTAGGCATTGCAAAATTGAAAGAGAATACAGAAGGATACATTTTTATATGAGTACAAGCGTTTTAGAACAATATAAGTTTAGTGACTCAATAGTACAGAATAACAATTGAACAAATTCATGCAAAATATAAAGGCATTTACATCAACACATTCTTCTACTGTCCCTGTGTATTACTGTGTATCAAGACCGATTTTTCCTTTTTACACGCTTTATATTAGCTTCACTTGTATGTGTGTATGTTTTTTTTGTAACCGACTCGTTTGGGCGTGATTTTGACTGACTTCTAACGGTCAGAATTCGTTCAAACTTTGTAGATATATCGAGGACCGATGACAATACACTAATTTAAAAAAAAAAAGAAAAAAAAAAGAGTTTTAAAGAACTAAAAAACACGCTTTTTACAGAAACCAAACTATTGACAACAGGCACCAAACGCTTTTTTTTCAAATTTATTAAAATTTATTTTCTATTTTTTAGTTTGGTTTTCTATAAAAGCGTTTTTTTTAGTTTTTTAAAACTCTTTTTTTTATACTTTTCATTTTTTTTTATAATTTGTGTTTAGGAAATTAACCTATATATCGCAAATAGATACTAGATATTGATATTATTGTTAGATATAATTGTTCGAGCGAGTTCTGCCGCTTTGGGGCGAGCTGTGCCAACCGTTGCTTTACCTAAAACACAGGATAAAATTTGAGCAAAA